AAGAAACAAAGGCGTTAAGTTTATTCGCAAGGACCGACAGCAAATAAATAGACGGACAAATGTAAGTCAAAAATTTATTTTTTATTGTATATATATATATATATATATATATTTTATTCATCATTATACAAGTAACTAAAATGTAAAAATTAGAAACTTATTAGGTTACATATAAAAAGGAGAAAGTTAAAAGTCTCAGCATAGTCTGCATATAAACTGCTTGTGGGTTTTGTAATTCACTTACATAACATAAACTATGTGGTCACAATGTAATTTAGCTCTTTTACACAGGATTAGTTCTTAGACACAGTTCCAAGAGCAATAAAACAAAAGAGTTAAATGAAAATAGTTGTAAAAAGCATAGAAGACTGAATATCTTAGGATAAGTAACTTTAATTGTCTGTTGCAATGTGCAGTCACTCTAGAAAGAAAAAAAAGGTAATTTAAATTAATTTCATATTTTTTGTGGTGGTTACAATGCTGGTCAAATGGACCAAGTTTGTAAAATGTTAGGGTAGAGAAATAACAAATATAAAGTTCTACCGAAAAAGCTTTTTGATATTCACTTAGGAGGTTCTTGCAGTTATGGAAATTATACTTAAACTGTAAGATGAACAAAAAGTGACAAAGTATTTTTAATCATGAAAACCACCTTTCATTTAGACTCTGACTCCATTAATTTACAGATATATATTTAGTTAAAATACTTAATTAAAATATCTGATATTTTGTATATGAGAGACTTGTAATATTTATTAAAAGCTTCCAAAGTGTTGTGAAGAAACAATTACTACATTAAAAGTTATGTACACTTTTATGGTTACATGGTGGTTGCAAGGTTGTTCAAAATGACCAAGCTTGTATAAAGAGGGTTAATAAAGATATTGCAAGGTTGAATGATTTTGAGCTGAAATTGACCAGTAGGTAATGAATGAGCTTACCAAATGACAGGGGTACAAACACCTGTTTTTAGTTAGTCTTGAAAGACTTCATTGTAGCTGCATTACAAGTTAGTGACAATAACTTGTGTGTTTTGGACCACAGCATGGTTTTCTACCTATTTTACACTTAGAAACATTTTGTAGTCTGTGAACCAGTTTAAAATAATTATTAAACAGCAGACTGTCACAAAAAATATGTAAATCAAATGCAACAATATGCCAGAAATGCATATGGTAGTTTCAAAGCATGTAATTTACACAAGATTTTGTGTAATTGCCTTGGCTGGCTATGTTAATTCCATTTTTGTTGTTGTAACTCATCAGGAAAGAACAGCCCTAAGTCTTAGTTCAATGTGATGAGAGATGCTTATCTGTTACTCTCAACTTTTCAACTTCTAATGAAACTTCACTAAACTTGGGGACTATGGAACTGCAGCTACATTGTTTTCATCCCATTATCTCACACACACACACAAAAATCACACTTCATAATTTGGTACCATGGATGCATTACGAGGGTTATGGAGAAATCCCACTATTTGATCAGGCAAGAGAAGCTTAAAAGTTGGCAGTGGGTGTTGTTGACTAACTGCCTCTCATCTATTCTGTCAGTTCAAAATTAGGGATGACTATCTACCCAATAGCCATTGGGTAGCTTTACATGAATGTTCAAAGCACCAACAAAATTACTAAACTTAACTCTTTCAGCACGGGCTTGGTCCCTGGGACCAACCTCGTAACCATTTTGTGCTTGTTATAGTTTTCATGCCATAACTTTTAAATTAGTAAGCGATTGTTAACAAAATTTGGCAGATTATCAGTAAACATTACAATGCTTTCATACGCAAAATATCAAATTTTTTTATTAAATCTTAATGTTTATAAAGCAATGTTTTTCTCATATCTATTTTTTCTTTTTGCATGTTTACTATCTATCATGCAAAGTAATATTCATTTTAAGATTAAAAATACTTTTATGCGTCAAAAAATTTTTAAATTTCACATTTAAATTCTTTATAATGTCGAGATAGTTATCAAACATTTCTTAAGAAAAAACTATATTTTATCTGTTATTTTCAGTAATTAATCTCTGTATGGGTTCGGTAGATTAGGAAATAAGTATCAATTATACCTCTTTCATTCTAGAATGAACACAGATTATAACAGGAAAACATAAATGTTTAGACTAAATAACTTAAATCTCATAACAATATACATTTATATATATTTATTATTTCAGCTGTCTCTGGCTATCAATAAAGAAGTTACAATGACGTGGCTCACATGCAATCATGTCACTGTATCAAATAACATAAAACTGACCTTTCGTCTGTGCAATGTAACTTGTCTTGGCTGTGTTTTAGTAGACTAGTATTTTGTAAAATACAGTTAAATTTCAGTTATTATAGATTATATATGTATATGGATTATTAATATTTTGAAATAAGTTCTTAAACTTTTTTTTCTTAAAACATAGAACAGTAACCAAAGAAGTAAAGCAAACAATAATCTGCTTTGTACTCAGTAGCTGCTTGATGTAGGTTGCTAAGCTTTTAAAATATTGCATGTGGAGGATATGAAACAATTTTTTTTTAGG